ATCTTACATTTTCCTCTCATGCAGAACAGCCAAACATGTATCAACAATTACTGCCATTTTCCCTCTTTAAAATTGTGCAAACTTTTATTAGGAGGGTTTTTGTCTTAAGAGATGCCAACAATTTATAATCAGAGATCCTCAGAAATGTCCTTGTTTTGAATCACGTATACAAACAAGAAACCGTCAAGCTCAGATATAAATAGATTATTTTAAAACTGAATGTCCTCTCACACTTTATTCCAATCATTTTAAAATAACCGACTATAAATTAACTTTCAAACTTGCTGCTTATCTTCCAGGTCGACATTCCTTTTCTGCTTCACTTCTCTGGAAATCTGATCTTTTCTTGGTTTGTATCAGTATGCAGAAAGGAAGAATTTACATCTACAAACACCCAGACACTGTTTTGAACGAAAAGTTTTCCAACTCGTAGGATTTTGTTCTTTTCCACGGCTGACATTTTTTCACAGGGTCCTGTTGAGAAAACAGGTAAAACCCATTTCATCAGTGGTGAGTCATTTCCTTTCACTGACCTGAGAGGACTTTGCAGTTAGCAGGCGTGCAGCAGGCCCTCCCCTTGCTGGAATGCAGGTAACGTTGATGCACCTGTAGTATTTGTACTGTGGCGTGTATCTTTAGTTTGAACGGGCTTTTCAGAGTAAAATAATGTGTATTTTTTTCTGTATGTTTCCTGCTATTGTTACTTTTCCAGTTAAACTGCTAATTAAGCTTTAAAGTATGCCGGCGTTGCACAATGAGACGACAAACGATGGCGCACATTTTAACTGAAAGCAACTTTTCAATTCGGTTTAGATGTCAGCGCATCAGTGAGACTGTGATGAAGTTTGAGCTTTCACTTTTAATTTTGGGTTGAAAGAATTTTACCTCGGGGATAAGGACTTTATCAAACTGTGTTATGAGTCATCTTGTGAAAAGCTGGTTTATCCATGTCCACAGCTAGTCATTTATATTCACACATTTCACCAGCTGTTTAATGTTGTTATGCTTATATATTTGTAGAACTTTGTTTTTCCAGATGAATTTCAACTTCTTTAACACAACCTATTTTCTAATATATCTGAATTACTGATGCACCTATAGATACATATCTTTGTCTTCAATACTTCCTTATTTATTAAGTTTGGACTTTTTTTTTTTCCATTGTTCTCCAGCACATTTGTAAGGGATCATCTGACAAGGTTTCAGTATAAACAGATATTTTTTTAAATCCAAATCTGAAAACCCAATCCTAATAAAATGTCTGCAAGTTGATCATGAGAACCAGTTACGGTGTGAAACAGAATCCTAGTTTTATCTCATTTCCAAGGCCTAACAGACCTGAAACCACGTGAAGAGTTTGTTGTGCCACAGCTCCCCCTGCTGGTCAAACTGGAGAAACATCATGGAGGGACTTAATGTTGCCACCAGATGACACATACAGTAGATAGGATTTGAGAAAACATGTCAGCACAAGAGAGATGATTGTAGATTTAAGTAGATGTACTTTAATTTTTTTTAATAACTAGTTGTGATCGGTTGTGCTTCTACTCAACTAACTTTTAAAGGCACTTATGGTGAAACTTGCTGGAGTCGCTGCTGCTTTTTCCTTCCGAACGTCATCTGTGGCAGGAGGCCATAATGGTTTCACCTGTGTCTGTTTGTTAGCCAAATATCTACAGCATATGTATTTTATGGAAACACACAGAAAGTAATAAATGGTGTTCAGCTGCAACTAAAGTCAACCCCAGTCAAGATGGCTGCCCCAGCTAAGTATCCTTAAACACAAAAATGGGCTGCACTGCAGTTTTACAGGAATAAAGTTTAAATTGGGTGTAATAGTAGGTGAAAGTCTCATTCCCAACACATTCTTTGAGTTATATCAGATCTGTTGAGATCATTCAATATTTTAGGAGTTTCTGCATAAAAATTATTTACCGTATTTTCTGGTGTATAAGTCGCATTTATTATGCGTCACTGCTGACCCATCGTGTTTATTATGAATTTATTTAATGGTCAAAACAGCTTCATTTCACCTGGGCGGCATGATGCCATCCATCCATCCATCCATCCATTGCGACCAGAGCAACGAGCTCTCCAGCGTTCCTCCACCTGCACCAGCTGAGTGAAGCGAGTGGGCACGGGAGGACTCGCTGTTCTAGTTCTTTGAAATTTAAAGCATCAGTCCAAAATTACCTTATGAATATGGAAAAAAAAAAAAGTATATAAGTCGCTTTGGCGTATACGTCGCAGGACTGACAAACCTATGCAAAAAAAAAAAAAAAGATAAGAAAAAACTGCGACTGTACAAGATTTGACCAAAATGGCTACAACTCTGTCTCATTTCATCACAAGATTTTATTTCTTTGGTATTAAAGAAAGCAAAATGCATTCCTTTAAATCATGTTAGGTCTTTAATTTTTATTGGAAATGCAGCCATTTCCACGTTATGTCAATAAAATTACATAATAAAATGCCCTTTTGTCTCTAAAATGAATTTTAGACATGCCATCAACGCACCAAACGTCAAATACTTACGGTAAGTTTATATTTTCTGTGAGTTTCATTAAAAGTTGTGACAAAATAAACTTTCTAAACTTATATGACAATATTTGTCCAAAGTGGCGCAGCATCGTGTGGCTCGTTTGTGGAAATATTCAAAGATGAGTAGACAAAGTGAGCATACACTGACGTGTTTTAATAAAGTTGACCGTTTATACTGTTCAGGACTTCACAGAAGAACAAATTCTATGAAAGAGTTGTTTACTTCATTTTATACAGAAGAAGAGAAGGGAAAAAAAAACTAAATTACACATTAAAAGCCAATATTTGTACTTTTCTTTTGTGTGTAGAATACAAATTTTGTACAACATCTATAGCATAGTATCTCGTTGAATAAAAATGTTCACTTGAATAATTATCGTTTGAAAATAAAATCACACATTCAAGCGAAACCAAAAAAAGAAAAGCAGATTAACTTAAAATCTATTTCCGTTTTTAGACAAATAATTTCATCATTGGCAACAAAGTCCAGCTTGTGCCGCCAAACGGTTTGGACATTCAAACCGAAAACAGCTTCTTCTTTTATTTTCAGTAAAGTGAACTATCAACTACAAACACTTACCAAACACTTAGTTCTGTTTTTTTTTCTTTTCTTTTTTGTTTTTTATAAAAGCCATGAAGCAAAGCAGAGTACTCTTGCACAGCAAAGTGAAGAAAAGCCTCTACGGAGGTTCATTGATTAGCCTTTCCTTTCACATTCATCAGTTGTGCACAATTTAGACGTGGACCAGCAGAGCGAAGTGCGTCGCCGTGCATTCACCATGCATTCTCTTGTGTGAGTTTATTCCCAGGAGACAGGTCTGCTCAAGCCTCAATGACATTTGTTTTTGTTGGTTTTCTTGAATGAGAGAAAATACGGTGCAATATTTCTTTGGGATAAGGCATTTCCTAACTGTGCATATCGGCAGAGCAACTACAAAATTCCCTGATATGTTATCAAGTGCTAAAACGTGTGCTCAACTACGAGGTGACGCTGCCGAGAAAGGCAGAGAATCGCTTTTTTTTTGTTGTTGTTGTTGAAGTAATTTATTATTGCTTTTTTCCCCTGCTGTGTTAAACTGGATTACAACATGGACTGTTACATATTATGCAGAATGTTTAGCAATAAATTTAGATGAACATGAGGTCCAAACAAATCCATGAGCGTACAATAATAAAAGTGTAGTCCAGTAACTTCCAGCGGTGGCACTTCAGAATAAGAGGCTAACAGTCTGACTCTCTGTCCCGACAAACTAAACGTGACTCTGACGACATCATTTGTCTTTGTGAGACATGAACTGGGCTCGATTCTGCATAGATCTGTGTTGGTGTAAACCTTTATGGAGCAGATGGAGTTGTGTGTGTGTGGGGGTGGGAGTGGTTTGGATTAATTTACACACACAAGATATGCTGTGGCGAATGCAGAGCAATCTCTGTCTCGTACAGCAAACTTCTCATACAAAACGTGTGCCTCTCAGCAGTAAAAGTGAATCAGTCAGGGATGAACGGTTTATGGCTGTTAGGATGAACAAGTCACGACCCCCTTTGTTCCTACTATACAGTGTAATGACCCCGGCATCAGCTTGACTTCAAGACCTTCAGTGACTCACTTTCCTGGCTCCTGAAGCCCCTGCTGCAGGGCTACAGCACTCTCACTGCAGGGGCATGAACATCTCATACAATGTCTCGAGCCAATTACCATAAATATGTGAAGCTTTTATTTACAACCACAAAAAAAGGGAATGATTGATCAATTTTCTCTACTGTTCTTTATGTTTTAGGCTTAATTTGATAACAGGATAATGTAAAGGGCCTTAAAGAGTTACATTGTTTCTTTACAGGTAGTTGAGTTTGTTGTGGGATTTTACCAAGAGGTTATAAACAATATCTTACCTGTTGTTGACAACTCTTTGGACGACCTGAGTTTGAAAAAAATAGTCTAATTCTGACCGGACTGTCAGGCTGATGGTTATTCTGAGTGCAGAAAAGACCAAAGTGGATCGCTGCAGTTTTAAATCAACTCCAGTCTCAACATTTTCATCGTCGTTAACTTTTCAAACTCCTGTTTTTGAGGATTTTCAAAGAGCCATCTACAACGGATAAGATATTATTTCTTCATAATGTTTCTATAAAAAACCCACACGCAAAGCACAGAATTATCAAAATAAAAGCATAAACATTCAATTATCTGATCAATGTGGGGGTTGGACCTTAGAGTTGAAGGACAGCAGTAAACTCAGCACCTGGTGATACAAAACGCAGAAAGAAATAAACCCTATTTACCGTTTCACCTTGTGGTAAACCTTCAAAATAAATTGAAAGTACCGTATTTTTCGGACTATGAGGTGCACTTAAAATCCTTTAATTTTTCTGAAGAATCAACAGTGAGCCTTATAATATGGTCACCTTACCTTATGTATTAATTCTGGGTGTGCTTACTGACCTCGAACCGATTTTATGTGGTACACGGCGCTCAAAATTCTGTCAAAATGTTTTAGTTTCGCTTAATGCGCCTTATAGTTCGAAAGAATACGGTGAAAATTTAACCACACCGCCCTTTTTGAACCATGTTTTCGAGTTAGACGACCACTGCTAACCAGAAGCAAAACAAATCCGTTCATAACAAAAGAACGTGGGAGGAACACTGAACAATTTAAAAGGGACTAAAGAAAATGTAAAGTATTGACCAGTGAACATTTGTTTAAGGGTTCGCTCCTGTAAACTTGGCTGTAAACCGCAAAATATACTTTTCTTGAAAAACGGCGGTGCATACAGCGTGTACTCGCACCCTTGTAAAATATATTAAAGTCGCTATATTTACACAACAAAAGACGAGGTTTGGCTCAAATTTTTCAGTTTTGTACAAATGTCCATGGCTTTAGATTTCGATTCAAGATTCGGTTCACTTGATTTTTTTTTTTTACACTGTAAATAAGCACAATATTAATAAAAAGTCAAATATAAAAACGTGACAAAACGAGGCTGCATTTGAGTGAACTGTAACTGCACAAAACAAAAACTAAAGAATCAGCTTTGGCTTGTTTTACTGACGGGCTGTTAACACAAAGGTGAACGTTTTTAGCAGCTCCACTGGATAGGTGTACATTGCCCTAATTTTGTATTTCTACATCTTACACCTTTTGAAATTATAAAATGACTCGTTTATTGCAGTGACTATTGTTGTTACCTCTCCACATTATTGTTTCATGTATGTTATGTGTGTTTATTGTCATATTAAAGTTGCTGGACTCCTTGTGCTTTGTGTCTTTTGAATGAAAGTAATAAATTAGAAGAAGTCTCGTTGGACTAAGGTTTTTTTTTGTGTGGTTACAGCATTGTTTCAGATAGTTCCTGCAGTGGATATCTTACGTAATTATAGTTTTCCTAGCCTGAAAGCAACACAGTTTTTTCTGATTGTTTGCGAACTTGCGAGCACAACAGCAAAACAGCAACTACATGTAAGTGTCTGACCAGACGAGTGACTACAATAATCTACCACCTTATTAACGTTTCTCTGCTGCCACCTGAACTGCACCAAGTACCTGATATCACCTGCTTGTGCACTAATTCAGTCCAGCTTACTGATACTTTTTTTACCCTTACTGAATGAAAGTTTATTTAGATATGTCCTGACACCTGATAATGTTACGTTTCAGTCTTAAAAATTGAAGTAGATTGAATAATTGTATAATATTGACAGCTCTAAGGACCTTTGCTCCTTTTTTTATCCCTCCCTCTCTCTCTCTGTCTGGCTGGTGACTGAGGACTGGATCAGGCCTCCTTATGTCACCCACGTGTCCATGCGCAAGCGCTTGACCGATGGGTTCTCCCTGTCTTCAGCACCAGCAGGGGGTCTTCCGAGTCCTAGCGGGGAGTGGAAATCTGGCCGGTGGTCCTCACGGTCGCTGCCATCATACGAGCTACAAGACGAGCTGAGGCTGTCAGCGGGTGAGCGTCCCAGAACCTCCTGTCGGCTGGACCCTTGCTGTGGCTGTTGCAGGGGGAAACCAGATGGGGTGACTCGCTCCCTGGGTGGTGAGATGGGTTCGGACTTGATGTTTATGTTATGGCTGGTGCTGATGGATAGGTTGGAGCCCTGAGGTAGGTGACCTCCACCGCTGCAACAGATGAGCAGGACACCATGTGTTCAGCACAAAAAACAAAAGGCACATGGAAAAAAAAAAGGGGGCAAAATGAAAAATCCGGGAATATGTAAATGTGTGATTCAGTGCGATAACAGAGCATTGTGGGTGCTGTTTTGATGTGGGGGCGTCTGGAGAGCGTGCCTTTGTTTGTAAGTGTGTTACTCACACCAAAGAATTAAGAGCTGCCTGGCCCAGTTGATGCTGTTGCCATGCCGACATGGAGCCCAGCGAGAGCCCGGGAGAGCTGAAGCCCTGTAGGGAGGAGATCTCTGCGCTGCTCAGCGGGTACTCTGTGAAAACAAACGCAGCCGCGCACACACTGAGAACAAACTCACGTCTCGCTTTCAACACTGGAAGCTACTGAACCAACAAACGTGTGCTGCAAACAGTCCTGGCTGAGGGGGTTGTTTTCTGTCTTGGGGATGGGGGGGTGGGGAGCAGTAGGGCCAGACTCACCAGCAGGATTGTAGGAGGTGGGCATGCCTGAGTAGACCAAGCCCTGTGGGGGTAAGCTGGGGGTGGTAACAGACACAACAGGAGTGGCGAGCGGCTGGTTGGACTGAGAACTGTTTATCCTCTGGGTGTTCTGCAGAACACACACATACAAAAAAATTAATAAATAAAACACTGAAAAACACAAAAGTGAGGCTTTGAAAAGGCCCGTTCCCTTTTCAACTTGTTTTATGACAGAGATAATCAACCACTAGGTGGCAGTGCAGCCTCATAAATAAAATTTTAACGTTAACCTAATTCATTTTTATTCAGAATCAGAATGAATGTTTACATTATCATTATCGTTAATGTTTTCACTAAGTTAGTGTTTTAATTGTGATTTCCTTTAAACAATTTCATTTTTTTGCTTGTCTGGATACAAGAAACCACATGTTTATGATGTCACATTGTATAGTACAGTATAAAGAGTTTTATTAGTCTAATAATTAATTTCTTAACAGTAAAATAAAACGTTTATTTTTTTGTGTTCAATTAAAAGCTTTAACGAAAAAATAACTTTGCAATGTCCTTTATGTTTTCTAACTTTGTTAAATATAGAGAATAAAGTTATTAGTTGGTTTAGCCCAGTTGCGGTGCAACACTTTACTACAAAATGAACCCAGTCAGGACAAAGAGCTTTAAACTCACATAAAAAAAAACTAATCCAGATGGTGCAAGAGAAAAACAAAATGACATATTTTAATACCCAGCCTGGCACACGGTGGTTTTTAGTGCTGTGCCTGGCATGCATGCACACAAACACACCTACACAGCTTGTTGCTGCAACACTACAAATGGCTTAATAATCAAAAGCAGACACGGTGAAGTTCAGAACAATGCTGTGACGACGAGTCCTCCGTGTGTAATATAACAAACTTCTGTGCAGCTGCCAGCGGTTGTGTTTCAAGCTGCCTTGCATCATAATGTTGATGGCTTCCTTGAATTGTTCCACACTATCCGGCCAAATGACTTCACCAAACCCAAGTATCTCACAGAATGATTTCATTTGGAATGATGTAATCTTCTGTCCCCCAGAAGAAGAAAAAAAAACGTAGCTGATTTATATTTTACTCATTGCTCTTAAATTGCTTAACATCAATTCTTGACTGCAAGTTAGAGGAACGGTTTAAAAAGGCCGAAGCCCTGATTTGATCTCTGTAACACACACTGACACTCCTGGTATGAGTAACAAGCACATGTTAGGAAAAGATAAGCCGGTTTAAAAAGTCTGAGACATTTTTTTTTTGCAAGCCAAACCCAAAGCATGCAGTGACAAAACCTTTTTTTTCTTATTTCTAGTTGTTTCCACTTAGAGCACTGCCTTCAGGTGAGCGTCTAATTACTGGAGGTATGTTCACACTTCAGCCATGTGCCCAGGCATTTGTCAAACTCACCAAATCCATTTCTTCCTCCTCCGACTACCCTCAACAGAAAGAAAGCGGAAAGTTACAGAGAAGAAGCACAACTCTGGTAAACTGCTTGGGGGTGAAAGTGGTAGCTATTAAGATTTTATGGTAAAAGGGACAATCATGAATATAAAACTGCTGATGAGTACTTGATTAGTAAAATCGCACTCATTTTGAACGAAGCACTCTGGTAACTTTTTAAAACAGTTTCCTAACGTGTTCCTACAATTCAACAATTTGTTGATATAAAATGTTGAAGCTGTTTGTTCAATTTTAAAGTGCTTAAAATGTAAATAAAGTTCTAGACAAAAACTAGTGAGGTTAAAAACTAACTTAGTATGAGTTATGGATATAGCCTACATTTGTAAAACAGTCACAAGAAATTACAGAGGAAGTTTCTTCTATAAATGACAACACCGTTCTGTTCACCCAGAATCCTCCCTGGGCTGAAACGAGGATGGAGAAGCACGTCCTCCATCTTTCCTTTGCTGTAGGACATACTGCGACCAGGCCGCGGCTCCTAATACTCATACTCAATCAATAGATGTAGGAAGACACGACAAGGGCGACAAGATATTATCTGGCTCACACCCTGGGCCCCTGATTAAGTCTTCATCTACACTCTGTCACACTGAGATGTGATTAATTTAATACCATTATGGCCTAATGACAGGCTGTCTGCAGACCTGCCACAGCCAGCACCCTCCACCGTCTCTGCAGCTCCAAGATGCCTCAAACTGAACTCAAGCAACCTCCAGCTGCTGCCAAACCTTTTCAGACTCTGTCTTGCTTTCTATGTATTCTGCAGGATTGTTGGTAAAGGCAACTACTGGGGAGTCCCAAACAAATGGACAATAAGTACCGTATTTTTCTGACTATAAGGCGCACTTAAAATCCTTTAATTTTCTCAAAAATCGACAGTGAGCCTTATAATCCGGTGCGCCTTATGTTTTAATTTGGGTTGTGCTTACTCAAACCTATTTTATGTTTTACACGGCGCTAAAAAATCTGTCAAAATGAACTTGTTTCGCTTAATGTGCCTTATAATCCTAAAAATACGATATATCATATTCTAAGGTCTCGTGTAGTAATGGATTTTTTTTTTTTTCATTTGTTGTTTTTTCTTCTTTCGGCTGCTCCCCTTCTTCAGGGGTCGCCACAGCGAACTAAGTCGCACGAAGACGTGGCAGTTATTTTTACGCCGGATGTCCTTCCTGACACAACCACAGACACCGAGCTACCACAGCCCTCTGTGTGGAGCAGAGAGCTGCTATCTAGGACACCCGGAGGAGCAGATGGTGGGGGTTAAGGGCCTTGCTCAAGGGCCCAGAGTGGGACGAATGAGGGTGGGGGCAGATGTGGGTGCTTCACCTACCCCACCCACATTTTTGATGTTGTCGGTACCGGGGTTTGAACTGGCGATCTTCCAATCACAGGCCCACCTTCTCTAACCTCTGCGCCACCACTCCCCCATGTTTTTTATTGTATCATATTGCCTTGTGTCATTCATAACGTATCATACAACTATCATCTTGTGGAACAGAGTATATCATTTTGTATCATATCATCTAATATTGTATCATTTGTATCATATTGTATATCATTTCAAATAACATTGGTTTGTATAACTTGTATCATATATCATAACACATTTTATATGTCATATATCTCATATCATACATCATATCTAAACATGATAATACAGTTATTTAAATATTCCTCCAAAGCTGACAATGAACAAAGAAGAAGCACCCTAAGGAACCAGAGGTTCATTAGCAAAACACTTTTTTTTTCCAGAGTCTGCTCTCACTGAACCACTTGCAACACACAAAGCTGGAAAGTTAAAATGTGCAATCTACTTTAGCCCCAGGTCTTTGCTATGTTGAGGGCGTGGTGCAATGTCATATTGATCATTAAAAAATAAAAAATAAAGCCTCCTACTTACACAGAAAAAAACCCAAAAAAACTTGGGAAAGTTTCTTGAGATTCTTGGCTCGGTTCACAGATTTTATGGAGGTGATTAAAGTGGAACGTGGTGCGTGAGGAACTAAGACGAGCACGTTCACTTGTACTGATAAACAAAGTTCTTTGTGAGGTGGCAACTTCACCTGCACACCGTTTTATGCCAATATGATAACGTCAAAGACTTGTGCACGCAAAAATTCTGCACAAAATAAAAAGCTCCGTCGCTTGACAAAGATCTTTAGGCTAGTGATGTTCATGTGCAGTGGTGTGCTCTTTACTCACCAGTGGGGGCATCATTCCTTTGCTTGATGGAGGGATGACAACCCTTAGGTCAGGTTTGCGGCTTCCCATTCCCATGTTCCCTCCAGGAGGCGGCGGAGACTTGGTAGGCATGACTTTACCCAGGCCGTTGCCGCTGGCTGTGCTGAGGAGGCCCGGCGAGCCCCTGGGGTTAACGAAACCATTCCCTGCAGAGATGCATGGCAACAGAAACACATCATCAAGCCGTGGACTGTGACTGACAACACTCCCAAGTCATCAAAAGGAAACCTCTCGCACCGTGCTGTTTTCCAGCTTGCTGCAGCACGCAGCGTTAAGTGCTTCCAACCCTCTGGGAAGTTTTAATCGACTCAGATAATTATCCTGCGCGTTTACAAAAATAAAATGTCCATTTTAAAATTGATGAGCCTTTTATTTTTTATTGTGAATGATTACATCAAAGCCAGTTCTTTGCATCTTGGGATGAGGAGCAGTTCACTGACAAATGTACCGTGACTGCTTAAAAGAAACAACTCGGGCCATTACAGTTTAAAAAAGTGCAATAAAATGTTGTTTTGTCACATTAGCAACAGAAAAGTGCCAACTTGTCCTTTAAAGATTCACACCTTTGTGCTTATGGTCATTAGTCACTTCCCTTTGTATCTGTCTTTAGAAAAGCATCAGTCCAAACAACACATTTTAAGATTTCTCTTTCCATTGCACAAGAGCTGAACCTCCTGACGATGATTGTTATCAAAGGGTGTGGACAGATCATTAAAATTCAGCAAGAAATTCAACTTGAGAAGTATTTTTCACAGAACTGTTAGTGTTACAGACCGACAGTTGTTGAGACTTCTGTCTGAGACAATTTATACCACAGTTTTTCTGATACTGTTTCATGTAATGAGCTGTGGAACTGTACACAGCGTCTCTGAAAAGAAAAAAACTGTATCTTGTCTTTGAGAAACAAGTTTAGTTGGTGGAAGTGTGTCGGTGAAAAAGATGACATGTGGAGCCAAAAGCAGTCTGCAGCTTTGTTCACAACTGTTGCCATGTTCATCGCCCGCTGCAATGCAACGTGAAGATGATGACGATGTCTCCGGTCTCGTATGTTTGTGTGTTCATGTGTCTGTCTGTTAGCTAAATATTTCACATACTAGTGGACACATTTAAACAAGAGTCAACCCAATTCAAGATGGCTGACAGAGCCGACTAACCTTAAAAAACACAAAAATGTGTATAAGTCATTTACTTTAACCAATATTGACCTAGAATTTGGTGTGGTAGTGGCTGAGAGTCACAACACACTCTCTAAGTGCTACCCACTGCAAGAGATCTTTGGTTAAAATTTTATCATTAACTGCAGTAGTCAATTTTTTTTTATAAAACTTTTAGAAAATCAATATTGGAGTGTACGTCTATAACTGATTAGCTTTTGTAATAAATCCACTTAATGTCCGCCATAGTTATTCCACATTAGCCAACACAAAAATACAAGACAACCATCTCATGTGCTACATGTGATGGAACGAAATTATGTACACAAGTAGTAGTAGTAGTAGTAGTAGTAGTCATAGTAAGCAGTAGTTTATTTTAGTATTTATGTGCAGATATATATTAAGGTGGTTTAAACCCTTCCCACACTCTTGCAATGTCCCTAACAAAGTTTCTAAACTCTAAACGCTCTAAAAGAGCACAGCATGTCATGATCTCAGCTCTCTGCCACCTGCTGCTCTCTGCAACCTGTCAGTGCTCTTGGCCACGCCCACTTCTCTGCTGAAAAGCGGAGATCATGACATGCTGCAAGAGGAAATTTCTCCTGCAGTGTGGGCTGCACAAAGGTGCAACAGGTGCGAAATAATTTAAAATAATTTATTTTAAATAAAAATTCCATGCCGATCGTACAGCTCATCCATCAGTCAGCCAATTGTGTGTCATGTCCACTCTTATTTTGAAAGACCGCGATAGAGCGAGTCCACGAAAAACAAACTGCAAAGTAGTGAGGGACTACTGTAGTTACAGAGCTAAGATGTGGTAGTAGCTGCCAGTCATTCACAACACTAAATGTGACATCCTGCAATACTCAGATTGATACGGTTATTTTCAAGGTTTCATCAAAATGGCTACAATTTTGTCATTTCTTTAAAAGATTATGAAGTTTGTCAAGAAAAGCAGAGGACAATATGCATTCCTTCAAGAGTTGCTAGGCCTTTAACTCTTTTTTTTTAAAGAATTTGTTCTGTTTTTTGTATTCCTACATCATCATTTTATCTCTTTAAAGAAAAATAATGTATGACTCATCTCAAGGTTTGCAGTGGGTTTCAGCAGATTCCACACAAAAGTGCTCTAACAAAAACAGGGCAGTAAACTGGTATAAAAACAGATAAACAAATAATGTTTCAAGTGCACTTTTGTTTGGAACCAGACTTGCTTCGTCTATGTCTGAGTAGAATTTATCTTTAAATCAAAAACCAAAAACAGGCTTTAAACTCTGAAAACAAGAGGAAGAAAAAATTATGTTATCCAGCACAATATCAAGAGATCAGTAACACTTCAACAAGCTGAAGACTCTTCTATTGTGTTGAGCACGCAGCAGCGAAACACAAAGTGTGTGCACAGCGAGGAGGCTCCTGCATAGAAACATAATAGAACAATAGCCCCCGCTGACTTCAGATAAGGAGAGCAACAATTCATGGCCAAATAAACAGTTATGAAGCCTACAATAGTATCTCACAGCTGAATCAACAGTGTGTACAAGCAGCTATCGCCATCAGCTCTGGCTTTGATCACACGAGACTTGGCCGCTGCAAGAAAACAGTGTTTACAGAATTAGCAAAGTTAATGTCCAAGGCCCCTCAAAATAGCAAGCCTGATTAGAAGCAGCGAGGACGTCATTTAGTGGGAATGGGAAGTTAGCGCAAATAGAATTTTGTGTGAAGGCACGGACAGCAAATGTGACACTTTGGCATATAAAGCCCCATCTGATAAAGTCCAGGGAGTTAGAATACTTCATGCCAGCAGAGATCTGCAATGTTTGGTAGAAAAACAAGACGAGAGAGATGACAAAACAGGCTGTTTTCACAACAGACATTTTGACTTAGAAGAGGGAACCACCATCCCTGTCATTAGTGGGTGACTTGTTGCAGCTCCTGAACCACAACAGCTCCATGTTGTTGTTGTGCTTTGTAACATCATTACACATATTATACATACCAGTCTGTATAAACATGTCCAGTTAGTCACTTGTTCAGTCCTGAACAATTTACTCAAACAACAGATTACACGTTGTGTCGAGCATCAACTGTAAAGAGATATTATCGCACAACATCTGGGAAGAAAAACATCAATTATGCACTCCTGTACGACATTAAATGACACTTTTATTATGACGCCATCGTGCACAAAAGAGTGAGAACTACTGTAAAGTGTAACTACTATAAAGCCCACATGCTTCTGTGTAATTATCCAGGTACATAGTTATTGCCCACCACTGAAAGTGAAGGTGAACAATAATGATTTTGGCCAAGATTGGAAGTGCATTTGTCTGTTAACAAAACGGTAATAATTCAGTCATTTCTCAACATAAGATGGTCTGTGTCTAAAACTCTGTGATGAACGATTGCAGGTGATGTGCATTCCTTCAAGGAATGGTTGGCCTTGAAAAGTAACAGGTGTTTTGTGCTTGTTTTGTTTTAAGGTCAGTGGTTTCATTGTATTTCTAATTGTAACAATTTGCTATCCAAAACTTGCCATTGGTGGAAATGATAATACCAAGGCCAGATGTCAAGAAATTTGAGTTTCACATAACCAAAGTTATGATTTATTAATTTTATTTTTTAAAGCTGTTCTCAATGAATAAACACCAAACAACAGCAAGTATGAAAATCAGTAATCTACACCCTTTAAACCATAGTCAGGTAAAGTAAATTACAGTAGTTATCTCATAATAATGTGCTAGAGAATATTGTTATGGGATGATTTTATTAATCTCATAGCACCAGCTATAAACGGACAGTAATTCTCATTATGTCAGGTCTCACTCTGCAGGAAATGTCGCCTTGTTCTACCACCAAACCTATGTTTTTTGGGTGGAACAAAGACAACCTACTCAATATTATTAAATCAGATGGTTTTGTGTTGTGCCGGATTGATGTAACTGCTCCACGGTGTTTGTCCACAGCATGTGCTCTATGAGTGACAGCAAAATATTATTGGAATACAAAAGCAGGAACAGTTACCATCTCAGTCATTTTGGATTTTTCTCAGCACTGATGACGATGTGTCACACTGTCATTCACGCAGTGCTGTGTTTACTCATTTAGATTTGAATTAGCCCACCTTATGTCCTCATCTGACTTGATTTGACTGATAATGAATGATTCGCCAGCAAGAAAAAGTGTATGTGTGGACAAATACCAAGTTAGGACAAAGTTATGGCTGAGCTTCCAGAAGGACATTTCACCAACCTTTTCTGAGGTCTGCACTCATTCTCTTTTCAAACTTCTCACTGAAAATCTTCTGCGAACTAAAACCTGTGCACGTTGAAAGCTGTTCGGCTTCTGTTCATTGTCCTGAATTATTAACACGGTATGAAAAGGGGCATTATGTAAGACCTTGTATTTACAAGCAAAACAATTCAGTTTTCATTTTAAGTTCAGGAAAAGAAAATGTTATTGTGCTTGATGTTCCATGTGTTTTAGGTTCAAGCAGAAAAAAATGTCTGTGAATGAGAAAAATATCAGACAAGTTATTCTAAAAGTGGATGCTGAGCATGAACAAGTACACATTGTAAATAAGCTTCAAAAACCTGTAAACCTTCAGCATTGATGATCAGTACAGCTAAAAATGATGATAAACAGCTTCTTAAATCAACAGTTTTACAACAACTTTCTCATCAGTCAAGAACCAGAGCATGTACCGGTAATTAGATATGACTGAGTTGTTGAGAAAAAGAATACCAACCAGAGCATACGCAATACACTTTAGTAGAAAACAAAACTCAAAGAAAAGTTGGTGCTAGTTACTGCGCCACTCTCAAACCCATAGGATGGCTTTTTTTATTATGTATTTATTACCAAAAAAAGGAAAATATTTGGCAACAAAATGTTGATGTGGAGTGCCACTGGGAGCAATAATGCTCCCAGTGGCACTCCATCCATCCATCTATCCATTATCTGTACCAGCTTTTTCCTTTTCGGGTCACGGGGGTCACTAGTGCTCATGTCCAGCAGTCACTGTGCAAGAGGCAGGGGACATCCTGGACAGGTCTCCAGTCCATCAGAGGGACACATAGAGACAAACGAGACAAACAACCATTCACTCTCTCACTCACATCTAGGGACAATTTAGAGTTACCAATCAGCCTAACATGCATGTTTTTAGTCTGTGGGAGGAAACTGGAGTACCTGGAGAAAACCCACACATGCACGGAGAGAACATGCAAACTCCACCCAGAAAGGGCCCCGCCTGGGATTTGATTCTACGACTTTCTGGCTGAGAGGTGGTAGCTCTACCAATAGCGTCACCATGCCGCCCCCCAGTGACATTGGGAAAGCATAAAGTCAGGACATTTAAACGAACATCCTATTTTTCGTCTGCTCCCTTCTTCAGGGGTTGCCACAGCAAACTACCTTGCACGAAGACTTGGATTTTTTTTTTTTTTTTTACGCCGGATGCCCTTCCTGACGCAACCACAGACCAGATCTGTGTGGAGCAGAGAGCTGCTATCTAGGGTGCCTGTGGAAGTAGATGGTGGGGGTTAAGGGCCTTGCTCAAGGGCCCAGATTGGGGCAAATGAAGGTGAAGACAGGTGTGGGTGGTTCACCTTTTCCACCCCACATTTTTGATGTTGTCTGTACAGGGAGTTGAACCGGCAACCTTCCGATCACAGGCCCACCTTCTCCAACCTCTGTGCCACCACTCTCCAACATCCAATAAACCATCCAAAGAAGCCATCACAGAACCAGTAGAGGAGCCGAATATACAGCATCTCCCTCTGCTTCTACAGTTTTGTGTCGTGGTGACACATCACACCGAGGATTAATTACACGACACATCTTCCATGTGATCACTTTGAAACGCCTCAGCTGTGGTCTTAGCAACCACGTCAGGAAAGGTCATCCAACACCAGGGTCATCCTGCATGTAGTTTTTGGTCCTCTTGCAAGCTTGGTACAAACAGCTGCAGCATGCTCACACTTAGATAATCGCTGACAGGTGTAGGCAGAGGCCCGTAACCACAACAAGCGTACAAAACCAAACGTGCTCTGAAGACCACGCTTTGGTGGTCTTTACAGTCAAAGTCTGACCAAACACGTCTAAAAGCTGAATATGTTCTTGTGAATGTCCTACTGTTTTGTAACATGTTGCTCATTTCTAGCACTCTCGTACGGAGAACAACAAGCTGAGTCACAGAGAAGAAGAACTGAACTCCACCTGCTTCTACAACTCACAGAGCACATTTCAGCCATGACAGCCTGTCCGGTCATTGTGTACCAAGGACTTAGTGGAATGACATGGCCTGAATAGCTACAGGGTTGTGCTGGTCTAGGCATCTCACTGACCCTCTCTGGCCTTATAAGGGCTGTCAGGGTAGAGGTGGGGACAGCTGCACCTGTCAACAGAAGGAAGAAAACAGGAGGAGGAACAACTACACGAAGAAGGCAAAACTAAAGGAAGCAACATGTTTACCTACCTGTAAGGGTAATAGATAAACTTTTTACGTGCACAGACCAACTAAAGCCCTGCCGTAACTGACAATCCACTTTGGCCTTAGCCCCTCTCTGTCTAGCTGTTACCTCATTCACCAGAACTGTCAGAACAGAACTCTATTTTTCCAAAAAGAGATCCTTTAAAAATCATTCTACAACCTTTAGGATATTATTTGTTTAAAGCCTTTCCACAAAACCCCCATTTAACACTGGTGCTTTAATGTGCATTTCATGAATTTCCTCTGTTGAGAGGAAACTTGTGTTATCTTTGCTTGCAATGAAAATATAATCTCACCAACATGCTATCAGTCAGTGATAATGACAGTGATCTCAAAGCAGTCACAAATAGAAATGCATGCATCCAGCCCATGTGCTAAGCAGGAGGCCTATTGGACAGAGCTACAGAGAGCTAATGAATCTCTCCGGGAGGACTTACCCGCTGGGCTGGAGCCCGCACTACTTGGCACTGAAAGGTCTGTGGTATCCAGCATGCCACCTAATGAGATGCACAGAGTGATATGATTAACCATCTGCATCTTTCTGTGAGCTAGCAGAGCATGTGATGGAGATGCCAGACCAGACATGAGAATGTCAAGCAGATCTGTCTTCACAGCACATAAAAGGGTGTCATCAGTGTCCTCATGGTGGGGAAATTATAAAATATACGAATTAAGAGGAAAACCTCCAACATGTTGTTTGTGATCTGTGTGCTTTTAGAAATAAGAGCTGGTGAGTGCGGCAGTCCAACGTGAGGTGGATGCTGCTTCAGCAAGCCGTTATTTATGCTCTCAGGAAAGCAGGTGTTCATCTGGTCTATAGAACAGTTTACCATATAGATGATTTCTAAGAAACACACTCAAACAGTAACTCAACACAAGCATGCCATGTGAAACTGAAAGTTCATTCTGGCTTTTGAAACCTGTTAATCTGATAACATTTTAGTAAGTAACTAGAAAGAGGAGCGAAAAGAAAGATGAACAAGGAGCTACTTAAAAGAAGAACTATTTAGCAAACCTCCTGTGAATGGGGAGGTGAGTCTGTTTTAATGTGAATGAGGTATTTTACACCTTGTGGCATGTACCTGCATTGTACGCAGCGTAGCTGAATCTTGAAAAAGCCATCTGGACCGACTGAGTCAGGCCAGTCACACAAGTACAAGTGCATCTGAGATCATTTGTCCACAAAACTGATACAGTTAAAAATGTGTGATGATGATCATTTTGAAGACCAAGAAAAAAAAAAGATCACAGGCTGGTTAAATGGTTTTGGTGTGACATGACATTAGGTCTGTCCCGTACGATGTTGTTTTAGCTCAAGACTTTAAGCTCTTTTTGAATAAAAGGCAGAGGGTTTCACAAACAGTTGAAAAGAAAGAAGCAAAACTATTTCAGCATGAGACTAGCGCTAACTGCTAGCCTGTGTAGCTTCAAATTTTTTATTTAATCAATATTTTTACAGGTACCCTCATTGAGTCACGAGGACTCATTTTCAAGAGATATAAATTTAGTTTGCTTCACTGAACTAAATATCAAGGCATATTTAATTTAAAACATAAACTGAAATGAAAGTGAAATTAGAAGGTTTGTAACCACTGTAAATTTTCTTTTCCAACTTAGTTCCAGTGTATATGCTAAGCTACTAGTTTAACACATTAATCTTTTAAAATGAGTAAAAACATCAATAACTGTTTGATTTGGGAGAAAAAAAAGGAAGTACAGTAGTTCCTCGTTTATTGCGGGAGTTTCCGTTCTCAGTTCAACCGCGAAGTAGGAATAATCCAATAATTTTCAGTCAGGTCATCGGGACAGTTTCTTTTAACGTCTCACCTTCCATCCAGAAGGCTTCAACAGTCAAGGAAACACACAACACAAAACTGATTCTGCCCCCAACAGTTTACTCCAAAGTGGAACAAACCAGTTATGTTGGTGCTAAGATGGTCTTTTTGGCACACCCCCTCCTCTGGTGACGGCCCTTTTCCTCGTCGACAGTCATGTCAAACTGGTTCAAAACCAGAAGATTTGTGTTGTGTGTTTCCTTGAATGATGAAGCCTTCTGGATGGAAGGTGAAACGTTAAAAAGAAACCGTCCAGATGACCTGACTGAAAATTGTTGGAATGTATACCTGGATTATTGAGCATGGACTTTGTTGAATAGTAGTACAATTAGTAAGTAGCAGTTTATTTATATATATAACACCTTTATATATATATATATATATATATATATATATATATATATATATAT